ACGTCGTCCATACACTCGCTGATGGGTACTTTAGTAAAAATACCAAAATTGGGAAATTGCATCCATTTTGATTGTTATCTTCGAATTGTCGGCAATATTAAAGCATTTATTACAAGTAGACACAATCGAATAAAGTTGCTGTGAAATGGTAAATGCAAGCACTACTGCCGCCAGCCACAATGCCACTCGTACATGAGTTTCCTCATCCGATTTAAGGAGCTTAAGAAAAATGACGACGAGGAAAAGATGAATGTTATGACACCGACACCATTAGATTGGGCGGCCAGTAAACTAACAACAGCAACAATTTCAATGTTGACGTTGGTTTGGTTGCCACTTGTCATTTTGGCGGTCATCGCCACCAAGTGGCTGTGAATGAGTCATATCTGGCGCGTTGCTTTTATCGCTCTACACTTACTAACGACAAGTGAATTACGGCTAAGACAATGAATGAAGTGAGCACATAGCAGAACACCAAAACTGTTTGCCATATAAAAGCACTTTCGGATGCCGGAAAGAAGTGGCATGGCAACTGCCTTAGCCAAATAAATTCAACGCATTAGTGTGTGTGTGTGTGTGTGTGTCTATGTGTATGTCTATCATATTGAAAGTATTTGTGTTGTTTGTTTTCTGATTTGTTTTTGTGCGTAGCCCAGAAGATTTTTGCTTTTTGATGACTTAGTTGAGTTTCGTCACTTTGGTGGAATGGTCAAAATGTTGCGCCCACTTGATTTACTCCTCGCGTCTTTTATTTATTTTCTCAACGATGCGTGTTCCCGTCTGGACGGCTGCTTCAAGTACAATATTATTGTCTGAACTCATGTCCCAGCTGAATCCCAACTTGCGTTGATGGCTATGTTGAATGCTTTTGTATGGTCCTGTGACAATTGCTCGTAAATTTCATTTTAATTATAACAGTGGCAGAAATTGCGGAGTAAATGGGAAATGTTATAAGTTGACGCATTTGTTTTATGACTTCCGCGATTGGCAGACATTTTAACTTTTTATTGCGAACACAAAATAAGGTTCTCATTTTACACTTTATATATGTGTTTATAAGAATTTTGGCGACCACAATAGCTCAGTGGTTAGAAGTGCGTACTATTATCCAAGAGATCGGAGTTCGTTTTCTAGTCCGGCCCACACTCTAAATTTATTTTGCTGACATGAAATAAGAGACTCCTCAAAAAAATCCTTCAACTGCTCGGAAGCAGTACAGTATTTCTTAGTGATCTGCGAATGGTTGATCGATTTGTTTGAGGAAGTAATTATTTCATGTCGGAAAAACACTCGGAGTATTTGACACTCTCTACCGAGAGGCCAGCAAATCAAGAAGTAAAAGTGTGTTACAGATGAAGTACGGTGAGCTAACCCCAAACCTCTCTCCAAAGCTTCTGAGCTGGTGGTTGTGGCATTCTGTTACCCGAGTAGGGAGACACTCTGCAGAAATGGTGTCACGACTGTCGTCTTCCAGTTAAGACCCTGGCAGGCCTCGTAGTACATTCCGATCTCGTCATCTTTGAGTTGATGGTTTAGGTACAGTTGAGAAGACTACTGTTGTTTGCACTGAATCTGGCTCTGAGCACCTATTCTCATATGGTTTGATACTAACCCTCGCGTGGCCTCCGTGTTTTCCCATGACTTCGAATGAGATCCCATAGTGACCCGATTAGCATGGACAAGCCAAAAATCACAAATAAAATTCCAACCTAATTCAAACAGGAAAGGTTAACGCAGGCGCAAACGCCTAAAGCATCTTCTTGTCCCAAAAAACACAATACCGGTAAAAAATACCGTGAGCAAGAAAGTTATGATGGGGCCCTGCTCAACTAGGACCTCGGAAAAGATCGCGTTGGCAACGATGGATTAATCTAAGTCCGAAAGTGCCGGAGGCCCATCAAACGGCAGCACGGTCGCAAAGTCGACTTCTACGAATTCAGGTGACTACGAGCCACCCCACTAAAGACAAAGACTCTGATAAGACATCTCACACTTAAAAGCGGATGGCCGTAAGTACACTAAATAGGTACGCCGGGATCCCAATAGAAACGATACCACAAAGCGCTAAGGAGGCGCTTCCAAGTAGACTTTATGGCTGCAGGATGCCGGATGGTTCCATGCCAACTTTCAGGTTGTCGCGGTCAGTGCCGCTGCTGCAAGGCTGCAATAGAAAGGGTATGAGAAGTCTACCCTGGAGCGAGACTTTAGGTACTGAAATGGAAGGGCATTCCGGTCCGACCTGGGACATGAACTAGCGTTCCGGTCACCCCAGCGGAGCCAGAGAGCATTTGATAAGAAAATTTGTCTCGTTGTCTTCCTGGATATAGGAGAGACTTTCAATAATCTCTTTCCAAACGCAGTTACAGCAGAATTGTAGAGTTTAGATGTCGACACTCCACTAGTAGATTTCATCAACCAACTGCTAGTAAGCAGCGTTATAAACGCGAACCTGGAAGGATATCAAGTATCCAGATATATAAACAGAGGCACTCCACAGAGTGAAGCTCTTCCCCCATCGCTCGGGAATCTCATAGTAAACTCGCTAATAACGCAAACGGAAAAGGGTGGCGGTGCATATAGAGGAAAGTTTCCACAAACCCTCTGTGACCTAGTGCAAGGAACACCAATAAAAGTATCGTCCTGGACTACCCAATGTGGCCGCAGTGTCAATTCAAACTAAGTAGATCTCGTACCAGAAGATACAAAGTCCCCGCTATCAACCCACCAGTATTACATTAGTTAATTTTCTAGAAGTCATCTTAGAGGTGCCTTCTCAGAACACCGTCCTATAGAACTCTCGTTGAGGCTACCTGATCACTACAATGTTTTCCTGGCGGAGATTCTGCTGTCATGAAGGCTGTAAGCAAATTGGAGCCAGCTTTAAAGATAAAGATATCTTCATTTTCAGCGATTGTTAGATAGCAATAAAAGCACTGGGCTCGCTTGCGCTAAACTGCAAATTAGTGCTAAACTGTCGCCGATCTCTACAAGAGATGGCCAAACAGAGCAGACAGTCTCTCACAAGGGTCTCTGGTCACAGGGACATCGAGGGAAACTGTAAGGCGGATGAAATTGTTAAGCGAGAGAGAGAGCAGATTATTTTGGATAAAGAATGCTTAAGTATGAATTTTTCTACATGCAAAATGCTGCTCAAGGAGTTCATATATGAACGAGCCGCTACATGGTGGAATGACATTACAACCTGCCGCAAAACCAGGTACATATGACCGAAATGGGATAAGAAGAGAACACGAGATATGTACTCCTTAAAAAGAGGTGGCATGTCCAAAGTATACAAAATAAATTCTATTATTATAAACTAAACAATTCTTTATCTGATGAAAAATCATTTCATGCTAATAAACCGACACCCTTTAAATATTTTAAGTCATTTAATTTCCCTATGCATTTTTTTTATTATTTTAATAAATTATTCTTAAAAGTAGGCTCAGATGTTTTAGATGGAATTTCGGTTAGTCTTTGCTGATTATTTTCAATGTATAGCTCTGTCGCCCGGGAAGTTTACCTTGGATTAGTTTTTCATCACTATTTATTCGCATAAAGAAAACACACCGTTAAAAAGAACAGGGATAAGAAGACGCAAAACCCATTCTGATTGTAAGAACCTCTATCCAACGTGCGTGAAATATTTTCCAAATAATAACTTTAGCACTATAACTTTACTAACTGCTTCAAAATTGTATGTATGTGTGCAAGAAAATACATAAGAGACTTAGAAGAGAAAAACATTGGGCAAGTTACAGTAATTATTTCTTGTTTATATATTTGGATTAAAAACTGAGATCACAGAACACCTTTAGCTTAATATAAATATCAAATACTGGACTAAAAGTATTTATAACGCTTAAATCATAGTGAAAGAAGCACTCCTCCTAGTAGAGGAGAATATATATTAAAGCGCCTTAGCAGAAATTTGTCATCTAAGAAATTTCAGGTGTACAACTTTGCTTCCACCGTTTTCCGATAGGTGGCTGTACCGGCTGAGGCTGGTTGAAATACATAAATGATAATGCCTTTAAAGTGAGTGTGGACAGTGCCTAACGAATTGTCATCGCCGTTTCAGTGACAGTTGTTCTTGTTTTCGTATTATTCACCCTCGAAAATGTCCGTTTATGTGCCTAATTCGCGCCATTTGCTCGAAGTTTTACTTTTCTGTTACTATTCGAAAAAAAATGCAGCTGAAGCGCATCGAATGCTCTCAGAAACTTACGGTAATGCTGCTCTGAGTGAAAGAACGTGTCGGGAGTGGTTTCAACGTTTTAAAAATGGTGATTTCGATGTCAAAGACAAACATAGTAGTGGGAGAGAAAAAACCTTCAAAGATTTACTACGAGCTCTTAAAACCGGGTGAAACCATCACAGGAGATCGCTACCGAACGCAACTGATGCGCCTTAGTCGCTCGCTTAAAGAAAAGCGGCAGCAATATCAAGAGCGACATGACAAAGTCATCCTCCAACACGACAATGCTCGGCCTCACGTCGCAAAAGTGGTCAAAAAGTACCTGGAAACGCTGAAATGGGAAGTCTTGCCCCACCCGTCGTATTCCCCAGATGTCGCCCCTTGTGACTTCCACCTATTTCGTTCGATGGCACACGCCCTGGCAGATCAACATTTTCAATCCTTCGAAGAATTGGAAAAATGGATTGCTTCATGGATAGCGTCAAAGGGGACTCCTTTTTTCGAGCCGGGATCCGAAAATTTCCGGAAAGATGGGAAAAAGTTGTCCCTAGCGAAGGACAATACCTTGAGTAATATATCTGTAAGCACTTTTTCGCAATAAAGCTTTTAATTTTGGAAATAAACGGCGGAAGCAAACTTGTACACCGATATAAATTTATACTACGCGGTTGGTTTATGAAAATGGTGCTTCAAAGCTTTTCTAAGCACTTGCTATGCCACATACTCGTATCATAATCATTTACATGTCTACCTACATTCGTGTCTAAAATAGACTTTGTTTAATTTCAGCACAACAAGCGCCTTAAGTCAACAATGTTGCATGCAACACATATTAATATGTAATAGTTACATGCAAAATGTTAGCAGACGAGACGATACTGCTGCCATAAATCTCACATACTAATTCAATTTATGGCAGTTGAAATTTGCTATGCGACCTTTGCGCAACATGAAAAGGATCGAGGGCTCTGCGTTTGCAATAACACACTTTCTCAGCACTTGGCAGCAGTGCTATGCACTAATGAACGAGCACCAGGAAACAGCTAACAGTGTTATATTTCTGCGACCGCCAGCTGAAATGGGTCCGGAACCATGGATTTCAGGCATAGACTGTCTAGAGGCGTTCACGAAGATTGTCTTTACGAATCGTGTGCGTCTAACACGTTCCTACAATATGCTCATAACGAATAGCTATAACATTTCTTCACCTGCATTGGAGATACAAGATGGTTTTATAAAACTGATCAACGAGGCTATCACGCAAAGTACAGAGCGGGGACGTCGTTTCTATCAGCTGCGCACTGTATTTGATAATGAACCATACGTTAAGCAGAAGTTGGGTGACAGTGCTGTTATCTTCACCGATTACTACGTCATCATCTTGGATAGTGTAGAGTTGCTACGAGTGCTTATGAGAGATTTCATTAGTCGTATGGTTTCATGGAACCCAGGCGCGCGTTTCCTACTGTTATACAATAATCCACTGAGACGGGATAGTGAACACGAAATTGCAATGGAACTTTTTACACTTTTACAAAAACAATACTATGTGCATCAAATAGGTCTACTCTACTCCACCGGCCGGGTTGATTACTCTTTCTTAGTCATGGACTACTACAACAATGCAAATTGCCGCACAATCCGCGTGTCGAAAATCGGCGAATGCAAGAACGGAATACCACAACCAACAGCTGCCGAAGTAAAGAGGAAGTTACGTAGATTCGAAAGAGATATAGAGATAAAAAACTGCACGTTTAAAATGTGTGCTGCCGTCTCAGCGCCCTTTGTCGAAAGAGATTGCAGAACTGGTTTGGAGTTGCTCATTGTGAGTTTTATGCGAAGCCGACTGAATTTCAAGGTAAGTTTTGGAGACGACTGAAGTAGAGCAAATGAATTTGCAACGTTTATACCTATATTCCACGTTAACAGATCCAGCAAACTTGCGAAGAGGAAAATAGGGGCGTGCGTGAAGAAAATGGCACCTGGACAGGCTTACTTGGCAAATTATTTGACCGTGACTGTGATTTTGTACTTGGCGGCTTCTATCCTGATGATGAGGTAAATGAAAATTTTTGGGCTTCCACATGTTACCTCTCCGATAGCTACACTTGGTTTATAAAACTTGCCGATCCTAGGCCTGCCTGGATTGCACTATTGCACATTTTTAAAGAGGAAACTTGGATATGCTTCATAGTGTTGCTGCTTCTTACCTGGATCTTTTGGTACTTCTTTGTCAACATGCTTCCCGAACCAAAAGATCACAAAGATTTTTCGCTAGCAGGTATCAATGCAATGGCAGTGTCTATTTGTGTGACTGTAGAGGAGCGGCCGGAATGTTTTGCATCTAGAATTTTCTTTCTCGCAGCGACTTTTTATGGCATGAATGTTGTGGCTATCTACACCTCAAAGCTAATTTCCGTATTTACTGATCCCGGATATCTACACCAAATACACGATCTCGAAGAAGTCATTGCAGCTGATATAGCGTTCGGTGGCCCAGATGAAAATCAAGACTGGTTTCAAAATGAGGATGATATTTGGATATTCGATAAATACAATGACTCTGATCTTTTCATACCCAACTCTGAAAATCTCCATGCTGTTAGGCATGGTGAACGGGTAATACTTGCAAGCCGCATGTACGTCTTGCAAGACCGAATAGCCGACGAAGTTTTTGCATTTCCAGAGAACGTGTTTACTACCCCGCTGCAGATCATAACGAAAGCAGGGTTTCCGTTAATACCTGATTTCAACTGGTTGATAGGTGCTATGAGCGATCACGGTATATTCCAGAAGCTCGAAAATGATTTCCGCTACAACAATACATATCTCAATCGAATTTCCCGCATGAGACCAGATTTCAAAGGTAAATCACTCCAAATAAAATTTGCAATTTATTACAATAACAATTTTCAATATTATTCGCAGAATCTGCGATTGTACTGACAACAGATCATTTGAAGGGCTCGTTCTCTATTCTTTTCGTTGGCATTGTTGGTGGCATAATATTGTTTGTTTGTGAACTCTTTTATTATTGGATTTTGGCACCTCGTTTACGTCGGGGTAGCAAAGAAAAGAAATTGAAGGAAACTAAAATGAAGCACACGAAGGAAAAACGGAGAAACAAACTGGACCATGAAAAGAAACCAGCAAAGAAAAATAAAAAAAGACATTTGTGTTGGCCTTTTAGGAAATTCGCGGGAAAGAAAATTGTTGCTCTTAAGAAGAAAAAAGCAAAGCACAGAGCACGTTTGGACAATAAAACTCACGAAATTGTTGTTGCAGAGAGTCTACGATTTACTCCAATCAAACGTCGACATATCGATTTACATGGATTCTACTAAAGAGATTTTCATATAATTTAAAAACAAAACTAATTTAAAAATAAATAATAAAAAAATTTAAAAAATATTTTATAACATTAAAGAAGGCTTAGCGAAGAAAGGCCATACTGTGAGATATATAGTAAACGCAAAAAGTAAAGCAACAAAAAAACGCATGTCAGTGTTTTTTGTTGACCTTGAGCCATCATCAAACAACAAAAGTGTTTTTCATATCAATCGTTTGTGTAATGTAGTAGTCAAAATTGAGCCTGTGATCGCTATGACCAAACGGCATCGCAAAAAACCACTCAGATGTGTGAAGTGCGGACTAGACCATCCGTCAGCTCTACGCGAAAGACTTCCTGATACTCCACCAAAATGTGTACACCGCTTGCAGAATCATACAGCCAATTATAAAGGGCTGTCAAGTATATCAGTAACTAGTCTCTAAAAGAGATTCATTAAGGTCAGCTCCTAGCAATTCGCTAGCGAGTACAATTAGTTCTTCGAACTCCGGTTCAATATCTTAGTTATGCAAATAAGTCTTAAAATGGCTACATGGAATGCTAATGGACTTGGTAACAATTTATTGGAAATTGAACATTATAGGTGAACCAACTTATGATAACCGAAACACATTTTACCAACAAGTCTGATTTTAAAATAAAGGGGCATGATGTCATTACTCGTAATCATCTTAACGGTAAAGCTCATATAAATTTTAGCATGGGGATAAACTCAAATAGAGACTTAGATGATGCTGTGGAGAACTTCACCAACAGAATGCATAAATCCGCCTTTTTAGCTTCATCTCATATTCAAAACAAAGCATTCCAACCATATAGAAATAAGCTCCCATATACCAAGATGTGTTGCGCTATAATTCATGGTATACAGCAAGCATTTGACAAAATTCGACACTAAGATTGTTACATAAAATTAAAAAAATACTTCCGACCACATTCTATTTCTTTTTAGATCATATCTGAGTCGCAGACATTACTACGTTAAAATCTAAGATTCAGTTTCAGATATACATGAGGTAAATTCTGGTGTTCCACAAGGTAGTGTATTGGGTTCAACACTTTACACGATTTACACCGCCTATAGCCAATATTGAAGAGTGATCTTTTGAGAGCTATAGGAAAATCTTTCGTCGGAAAATGCATGAAATCTTTATTTGAATCGATATTACGCTCTATATAATTTAATGTTTGAAGATTATTTCATGCAAATATTGGCCGTGATCCATCCGCTTAGTCCAATTTCGGAATACTCTTTCCAGCATTTCGGCCGGTATCTCACGAATAAAGCGGACTCGTCTGTATAGACATTAGATTTAACATAGCCCACAAAAAATAACTTAAAGGCGTTAAATTGCACGATCTAGGTGGCTAATTGATCGGTCCTGAACGTGAAATAAAATGTTCGCCGAACTCACCTCTCAATAAGTCCATTGTTACGCTTGCTGTGTGGCATGTCGCAACGTCTTGTTTAAGCCACATGTCATGCAAATCAAGCTCTTGCATTTTGGGCAAAAAAAGTTTGATATCGTCTCATGGTAGCGATCTGTATAACTGTACTACTTATGCAGATGACACCGCAATACTTTCGTCATCCTTCTTTGCAATCGAGGCTGAAGAAATTGTACAAAAACAATTGAATGAACTACACAACTGGCTTACCAAATGGAACATTTTGGTAAATTCTTCGAAAACTGTCCATATCATCTTCATACCTGGGAAAGAAGAATTACAAAACCTCAGTCTAAATCAAACCGTAAATCCTAAATCGAATAGTGCTAGGTATAAAACCAGAAAAATGCATTGGTTGCTTGTCCCCAAATCAAAACTCAGCCTTTAAAATAAAATTCTGTTGAAACGATGTTGAAAACAGTGTGATACCGTAAGTTCAAATGTGGGGTACAGCGAGTAGAAGTAGCATAAATGTGATACAAAGATATCAATCAAGTACACTTCGTTTAATAGCGAATACACCATGGTGTACATAAAAATATCCGCTTACATAAAGATCTAATAACAAGCATGGTTAGATCGAACAACTTAGCAACCATCCAAACACACAAGTTATCAACCTGCTAGACAATAACGAGGAAGTACGAAGACTAAAAAGACTACACTATCTAGACTTGCCATACAGATCATAATTTTTGTAAAAACAATAAATATGTTGTAACTGGGAGCCTTATGAACAAACGAGTTATGCTAAAGCAAAGAAAAAATAAATTACATACCTTAATTTCAGGACAAATTGCTCTTAATGCATCAACGTAATTTTAAGTTAGAGTATATTTAACTTATTGTCAACCGACAGTTTGTGAACAAATAAATTAATAAAAAATAAAAATAATAAATAAAAAAAAGTTCCTGCTTTGGTTTCTTCCGTAGTAGTAACACCGCAGCTCGAAAACTAGGAAATAATTACGAAGCCATAATTGCGCCAGAATAAAAGTAAAAGTATAACAGCCAGAAATAACAATTTTGACATCAACAACGTACCTATATTTGTACATACATACATGATTATATATTTGTACCATTTTAACCAATCTTAACTCCATTTTAGCTGACACAGTACGATGTTTTTGGAACGCAGCCCAAGAAAAACTCATTGCATATGGCTTTGAATATCGCATCTTATCAACTAAAAATCGGTACACAAAACATAAAATGTCATATGACACATCTATTTACATATGATTTCGAAAATAACGATAGTGTCAATGCGTAAAATTTATCTCCGACTGCAGTATTAAGCTCATCACTCCTGCCGCCACTCTTCCATTTGCCATTGAGCGCCAAATATACAAAAAAAAATGTTATTTGGCAGAAGCGCCAAGACTATTCTATGCCATTGAAATGTAAAAAGGTGGCAATATCTAAGCACTGCACTATAAACAATGCGATAAGAGACACGCCAAAATATTTTGGAAAGGAACAAAAACTATTTGAAAACACTTTCCATATTTTTGCTGACAACATACAAAGAACAGTTTGCAATTTCGTAAAGAAGTAATAGTGAAAATAGCAAAAGCCACGGCCCTCTGCTAAATTTGAAGTTTGGGCAACAAGTAACCATTAATAATTGATTACAGTCGGAACAGAAGATAAAGAAAATTTTAGACTAAGCTTCTGAAGAAAACATTTATAGCTTTTAATCGATTTTAATTGCGGCCGCAATAACCGAGTGGTAGGCATTGAGTATTGACATTCGAAACGTTCGAGTATGACATTCGAAATTATAAAAAAATAGTTTTACTAATTGCAGTCGCTCCTCAGAAGAGAATGTCAAGCCCTTTCTTTCTTGGATGGTGAACGTAAGTACTCGGTGAGATTTCCTTGCTGTCACAATATTTTTTGCTCTTCTTTGGACATTCCAGCTTTACAATTTTTGGGGGCACCAACCATATACTGATCTGCTCCTTACCAATTAAAACTCCTTAGTTCATAGTTTTTTATCTGGAGGCATTTTCTACATTCAACCTTATTACACGAAATCCTTTTTTAGCGTATACTCGTAGATTTAGTAGAAGAGAAGCCAATTGTTCTAGACCCTTGTTCTAGTCTCCTTGAAATCCCACAGCTCTAGCAACCAGATGCTCCCATAAGTATTCACTGGTTTAAAATGCTCATTTATGTACGATTGTCGAAGGTACGAGGTGGCCTAAATCCCCGAGAGGGCAGCATATGTGGGTTATGAGTTCGATTACAGGCCACACTTACTTTCCAAATTATAGAATAGGTTTTTTTTTAATGAGGCTGCTATTCGCGAGGAGTATCAACCTAATAGAACACAAACAGAAAAGCGATTCATGAAAACCTATTAGCCTTTCAGAGGCGGTTATAGCTGTTCCAGTTCCGCCATTTGTTGCAAAAATATCAAGGCGTCCACCACAAATTTGTGGATGCTCGCGAAAACTTCTTTCAGCGTTTGAGAATCATCACTTAGCTTTATTTCCTCCAGGGTGTGTACACTAATAAAGGAATGAGCGTATAAAGCGAAGTAAATTAATCGATTTGTACAATAAATATATACGTACATACATATATATATGCATATGTCGATGAATACAAAAAACACAAGCGAAAAGTTTTGTAAACAAATCGTTAAACTAAACTAAACTAAATTTTACGACTTCATTAGCAGCAGCGGTAATCGATCAATCGGAAGCATCCAGTGTGCAATGACAAACTCCTCAGCATGCTGCTCGTGTGGTTGCGGTGCTTACTCCATTCATGCCTTGAGACCAGAGCTGTAAAGTATTATATACATATACATATGTATATCTACATATTTGTACAAACATTTGCGTCGCTGATACTCCTGTGGCCACACAAAACCTAAAATATACTCAACGGTAAATGATCGCACTAAAAATCTGACGGCGGGAAAATTACCAGCTGAGTGTTGCTCCAATTTGTTTCTGTATAAACACTCATAAATACATACATACTCATATATATACATATATATATATATATATACATATACCACTCGTTCAAATGTACTTTTATGTTTGTTTGAAGCGATCACTTGACTTTTAATGGCAAAAAATCGTGTTTTTGTGCGCGGACCGTTTTCCAATGATCTTGAACGTGTTGCAAACACACAGATTCAGGCGACCGGCGAAATCAGGCGTCATTTCTTACAATTACTATTGTTATGTGGTGGCCGAGATAGCCGAGTGGTTACCATTGCATACTACCACCTAATTAAGGAAGTCCCGAGTTTAAATCCTGGTCGTATCAGCATCAACATACAAAAATTATAAAAACTTTATTTAAATTTTCGAGTTGTCGGTCGCCCCTCGGCAGGGTATATCAACTCCTCCGAGTGTATTTCTAAACTGTGGTCTTCTCCCTCCTTGCCTCTCTGCCTCCATTTGTTGGAAAAACATCAAAACGCAAAACCACAAATTGGAGAAGGAGCTCGGCCGAAAATCGCTTAAGCGTTTGCAAAGCGCAACATATATATATATACTGTATATATATATGTGTATGTTATGTGGCGGCGTGTCG